TATATAATATATAATATATAATATATAATATATTATACATGATATATTATATATTGTATATTATATGTAGTGATGTTGCTCTGTTTGATTTGCTGAAGCGGGTGGAAGATAAACAAAGCGGCGGTGGTGTTTACTTAGAGGGAAACATCGACTTTACTGCTAATGTTATTTTCAAAAACGTTTTTTTTTGCTAGAAAGCTGAACACGGCTTTTTCATTTACCTGTGCTGACTGTTATTATAAGTTTGTGTTTTTTTGCAAAGAAAAAGGTAATAAAGAATGCGTGATATATTGATATAAAATTTTTAAATTTGCACTAATTCAGAAGAAAGCATTTAATAGGTATATTTGAAACTGAACTGCAAATGAGTTGAAATAATGTGCAATTTGCTGTTAATTTATTATATCTGTTTGTCTATTTTATTTGTTTAGCAGCAGTTTTTTGGTAAATAAAAAAAAATGTAATCTTGCCAAAAAAACTTCAAAGGTTAGCTTGCCATATGTTTTGTAAATTTTGAGTTACTATGCTTAACTTTCGACAGCTTAATTACTTAGTGTCTATGACTGTTATGTAAAGTGGAAGACTAAATTTTTAATCATTGTTCTTCGTATGATGCTCTTTTATACAAAGCAATTTTTTTTGGCAGAGAAATCTTGCTCTACAACGTTTTAAGGCTAAAAAACTCCAGGTACTGATAATATTCTTGAAAGCCAGCATTGTTAATCTCGTCTTATTTTTTGCCAGCTAAACAATTAAGCTTCCGAGTGTTATCATTGAAGTTGAAAAACCACTATAGTATCAATTTTACTTTTTTTGCTGGTTAAGTTCGATGAGAAAACCAGCTGCACATAAAAGTTGTTTAGTATTTACCGAAAACAAGGCATTTACGATCACTTTTTTATTTTTCATATCGTATAGCTCTGTAAATGAGGTGTTTAAAGTTCAACGTTGAAAAAACAAAAAATTCAGTTGAGGAGATAAAAAGTGAAAGAAGTCAACAGTAGAGTTGACTGAGAATCTGTCTTAGAAGCACTAACGTAAAGAAGTTTGTTACGGCTAAACTACTGTCACGTACCTGGTAGTAAATTTTGATAAAGTTTTATTGCAAAGGTTGTTTAGAATAGTATTGATGTTAGTTTTACATGAAAAGAGTTAAAAAAGCAGTTTTAACTGTAATCTGTACTGCAGAAAATGTACCTAACAGAAAAGACTTTTTGATCTGTTCGTGGCATGGCGACACAGTTGTCGAACTTGGATGGGAAAAAACGTCATTAAGTTTCAGTATGCGCAAAGCTAGTAAGTTTTTTTATTTTTCTTCTTTCCTTAATAATAGCATTTCGCATGTGCATAGCTGTTTATTTGCGAAACAGTTTTTTCTCTATTATTTATTAATTAAAGGTTTGTAACAGCAAAAATCTTTTTCGTGATTTATTAAAGTTTATTATCAGGGTTAATAAATTCAGTTATCATCTGTTGACATTCAAATCTTTAAGACTGAAATGAATTGTCGGTTAGTCATTGTTTTGCTTAACTATGTTCTGTCGTAATTTTTTAGTGTAAATTAAGCGGCAAAGATACTGCTGTTAAGTACTTCGACAGTATTTTTTTGGTAATTTTATTAATTGTGACCTTAACTAGCTGAAATAATGAAAAACAGAAGTTGAAACTCTTGCTGTAGTCAGTTGACGACATTTGCAGCGGAAAACGTCGTGCTAACAGTTATCAGAGTAAAGTTAGGCTTAGGCTAAAGTAAGGCAAACTTTTATTTGCTTTGCAGACGTTGAAAATAATTTGCCGAAGCGTTTGGTTGAGTGGATCGTACTGAAGTCTTAGCAAATACTCACTTGAGCACACTTTGTCGATTACATCACAAATGTAATTTCATTCTCTTCAAATCCTTCTGAATTTTATCTTAACCATTATAAAGCTTCATGTTTTGTTGCAGTAAACTGTTAGTGCTGCTTCGTTTGTCGCTAAATATTGTAGGACATCTATACCTTTTATGCATTAGCTTTTTTTTTTTTCTGAATTTTTACCACTGTGATGCAACTTTGAATATGACTGTTGCTTTTTTTTTAAAATTTTATAACCTGGTTCAAAGAGAAGAAAGATTTTACAGTAATTGCTCAATGACAAAAACTTACCATTTGTTAATTCAAAGGTCGTCTACAATACCTTAATCATTTTTTATGTTTTTTAAGACATAGAGTTTGGACATAATGCTTAATATCGCCAAATTTTATGTTGAACCTTCTGTCTCTGTCTATCACATTACAAATTTTTATATGTTGTCAAAATACTATTCATTGAAGTGGAAAAAAAGATGATACTTTTTCACTCATTATATTCGTCTACAATAACTCTGTTGTCGTTGAAATTCCCAAAAACTTTGGTCTTAGAAAATAAGTGCGAGAAAGTACTTGTATATTTTTCAAAAGTATATTTAAAAATGAATAACATTCAAAATAATAGTTTTTACTCTTGTTGAATAGCTATTTTTTTTTTTTGTTTTTATAAATGGTTTATTAATCGGCAAGTGAAGGAAGAAACTGTAAAACTGTTTTTTGTCTGGGTTTTATGAAAAATTATTGCTGAAAAAGTGGTAAAATAAAAGTTTATTTTTCATTTCTTGCTTTAACCATTACTTTTTTGAAAGTCAAAATTGTTTTAATAATTTTTTTTTCAAAGCAGATGTTAATTCTAAACTCTATACATGTTTTTTTTTTTTTTTTTTGCTGCTATTCTGTAGTTTAACTTCTGTCAACAGTCAAATTTTAGTGTGAGTGAAAGGACTAAAACTGTTACAACTAAACAGCATCAAAAGATGCTTGTTTATTTATGCTCTTTTGTATTTGTATTTTTTGTAATTCTTTTTTTCTTATAAACTATTCAAATTTGCATAACGAAAATCTGATTTAAACGCCAAAAATAATCCAAAAATAATATTGATCAATCTAAATAAAAAACAGCATCTATATAAAGTGAAAAAGAGAAGAAGCTTACTGTAAACAATAATACAAATGTTTTTGATGGTAAATGCTGATTGTAATTTGTTGTTAGATGCTTGAAAATTGCTTAAAATGTTTATATAAGAGCTTTCAGAAAGCTTATATCATTAGTTTGATGTTTGAGACATAAGTTTTTAGGTGTTAGTCAGAATAGTTTAATGACGAATAGAGATGAAATAAAAATTGATTTTGTTGAACAACGTTTCTTTTTTAGTAATTCAACAAACTTATAGTTCAAACAAAGCTTTAAAAAAGTTGTATTTTTTCAAAAAAGATTAACTGCTAGCTGTTGACTTTTGTTGAAGTAATATAATCAGAATGTTATAACCGGTTTTTCTAGGGAATGTTGTTGGTTAGCCTTACTTTGCTGTTCACTGTTGTACATGTTGGGCTAACAACAATCTGTCCTTTTGTCCTTCATAGAGTCTGCAATGAAAAGCACCACCATCACGCCTGTGTCTGTGCAATTACTCGTGAAGAGGTTACTGCTATTCACTGATTTTTTAACCATAGTAATTTTTACTATGTAAAGTTAGTACTTGTTTTACACTTCAACAGTTTTAACATGTGCAGCTTATTTGAGCGACCAAAAAATAGAGTAACTGAAAAAGTTTTCTTACAGTTGCGCACTAAAACTTACATTTTTTTATCCCTCTCCAGCACTAATTACTAATTTTCGCAAGTTTCATTCAAATCAATGAAGAGGTTCTTCCTCTTAAAAAAAAAAATTTTCTTGTCAGTTTGAAAGCAACTGAATATCTCAGCTATCTTTTTCTCCACAATCTTTTCTTGTAAGCACTTAGAAAAAGCAAAAAAAAAAAAAAAAAAGGCATCTTTATTTACAAATTCTTTACTAACCTATAATGATCAACTTGAACGTATTTATATTATCAAAGAAAAAAAACTGCTGAAAATATGAAAACTTTATTTTCAATGTTTAGTATTATTAAGTAAAATTGATGCAATTTTTCAAACTGATTTATAGGATGTTCAAGAAGAGAATGCAACCATTTAGACAAAAAAAAAAAGTTTAGAAGACTATAGAAACATGTACACTGCGAAATAAAACTTACAAAATGTTTAGGTTTATTGACTTGCCAACTTGTCTTAGTTAATTTTTCTTCTGAATCTACTTCAGTTAGCTGTAATTTTCCCTTTCTTTTTTATTTGGGTCACAAACAGTTTGCCGTCGTAAATTATTTTAAAGCATATAATTTAGAGGCTTAAAGTTTGAACTTTCACTGTAACACTACTTTTTAATTTATAGCCTAGTGCAATTAAGGTGCTAGTAAATAGAGTGAAATCTCTTTGAGAAGCACTTTATAACTATTAGAATCAAAAAATGAACTGTCATAAGACAGCATTATGGCTAACATGATTATGTGTTTGTAAAGTACTGGCTTCTAAGCTTTTTTTCACCGACAGTTGTATGTTTTGATACAAGCCTCACGTCAAAAAAATCTTAATTTAATAAACTGTAAAGATTTATAAACGTAGTTTTCGTTAGTAAAAATCAGTAAAAAATAAAGCTTGAGGCTGCCGAATCAAAACTGTCAGAAATTATTGACACAGCGTTCCAAAAGAAAAGAAATATCTAGAAGATTTTGACATTAGTTATGAGTCAGTTGCTAAAGTCACCGTAAAATATTTATAATACCTTTATTTTTTTATATCAAATATGCTTTATAAAACTGTATTTTGAGGCTCCTCCACCAGAGAAGAGTTGCAACCATCTTCTTGAAGTCAAAGACGACGAATTTCCTGGAGTCTCTGTAGAGTTTGAACTAAATTCGCACGTGAAACATTTGAAAAAATTTCCAGAAAATAAGTTTCGTAGCAGAGTTTCTGGAATACTTCGCATCGAGCCTGTAAGTATTTACAACTTTCTGACTGCTGTATTGGCTTTTAATATTGATAAGAATAAAGCTTCCACGATATGGCAGTTGAATGATGAACTTTTCAGAATTGTGACTAATGAAACATTTGTTCAGTTTAACTGTTCTCAAACTGTTTTTGTGTGAAGACTGCATAGATAAAATGAGAAAATTTTTCACTTTTTTCTACGGTTACATTTAATTATAATTTAAAGTCGAGCACAGTACTTTTTTTGTATCATGATTATTGTGAATTAACAGGCATAACTTTTACAAAGTCAGCCTGTTAGGTCTTGAAACTATAAAAGTTTTATTAGAAGATGTTAGAAGGTTATTTAACCTATGACTGCTCAGAATTTCAGCACACAGAAGTCTCAGTAAGCAATCGGATGTGTACAAATTTTTAATGTCAAAGTTTTTTCTTGTAATAAAACAATTAAGTCGTTTTGATATGTCAATATTTTATCATTTTGCGTGTTTCAAAATCTGGTTTTGCGTGGCTTTCTATAAATATTAAATTTTACAATTCTAATCTACATTTGAAGTTAAAAAAATGTTATTTAATTGAAAACTCTCAATTGAACAGCGTATAAAAAGAATTTCCACAAACCAAAAGTAATATAAAGTTGCGCTGCTAAGTAGTTACCACTGAATGTTCATCATTCTCGACTGCGACACAAAAAATTATTGTAAATTTTTCAAGGTGGTAGAATCAAATACGGAAACTTTTGAAAAACTATTAATATAAAGTGGTGCAGCGGTGCCAAAGTGGTCCCAAGAATTCTGTACCCTTATTGAGGTTGTTGTCCGTACTGAAGTATTTGCTGCGTCGTTTAGACGGTTAAACAAACCATGCGCGATCCTTAAACTAACTTTATATCAAAATACGTAATTATTCTACGTTTATCAGTCTTATTTCCTAGTGAGAACTCAAGCACTAATAAAACACTAATTAAGTTGAATAATTTGCGAACGAAGATATTTTTAACAAATGTTATAGTATTTAACGAATTCTGTTACCGTATAGGTGGAAAAAAATATACAGTGAAGGTTGATATGCAGCAAATGAAAAATCTAAATTCAGTTTTTTAGGAGAGACTTATAGTGCTGCGAAATCGTTGCATGGACAACGACAAGAAATTTGTTTTACAATTCGGTGTATTAAAAAGAGATGTAATAATCGAGCGGAAAAAGGTTTTTAAGAAAATTTTTTTAGTATGTAGGCTCAATTAACATAAAAAAATTTTGAGTCTAATTCCTGTTTTTTGTAGATGCCACTTATTCCAATTTAGATTTTATCGTAAGTTCGAAGAGACAAGCATATTTTAAGGAAATTTCTAAAAAGTCAGCTCCAGAAGCTAAGGAAGATGACGATGACAAAGACAAGGACAATGACGATGCCGACGATGGTTCAAATGATGATGATAACAACGGCGTCGAAGACAATGGTGAGGAACACGCTGATGAGGGCAAAAGCGAAGTAAAGAGCAGGAAGCGTACAGAAGAGAATGATGATGATGCCAGTGACGAAACCACCATAGCCCCATCAAAAAGCTCTAAAATAAGCATTCATAAAAGTGTGCATAAGGGGACAAAACATGAGCCCAAAAAAGAAAAAAATGATGACAACGATAGCGACGATGACGATGACGACAAGGTTAACAAAGGCAGAAAAAAAAGCGAGAAAAAGGAGGATGATAAAGACGATGATGATGATGATGATGATGATGATGATGA